GCTTCTGTCTTTTGCTTTCCCCTAAGATCCCCTGATTGCTTTCTTCATTCTTTCTCTCTTCTGGTTGTTAGGCTTCTTTAAGTATCTTCTTATTTTCATTAGCTCATTATGTCATAGGTCTAATTGCTGAGTGCATTAGAAAGACTAGTCTTATATTTCTGAAGAGGTACCAGTGTCTCAGTCATCCCTGATCAATGACATGCAACTTGCTTGTCTTCTGAGGATAAAATGTGTCATGTAAAAATGGCATGCTGAACTGTACTGGAGAGGAGAGGAGGAGGAGGAAGAGGAAGAGGAGGAGGAGGAGAAGGAGGAAAGGATTGGTGTGAGAAAAAGGAAAAGCAATGAGAAGAAAAGGGAAGGAAATAGAAAAACAGAGAAAAAAACATAATTCTGAAATAAACCTATGATTTTGAAATCACAGTTAACTCCATAATCACATTTGTGATAAGAACTCTGAACAAGAGGTAAATAGAAATGTGAACAAAATATGAAAATGGAGAGCTAACCCAGTACAGAGAAGTACTTTCTGAAGATGAGTGAGTTGAGAACTCAAGAAAGAAGAGGTGTTACCTATGAAAAGAGATGGAGAAAAAGCAGCATATTCAAAGGCACTGGACTTGAATAAGCATTTGAGGACCTAAAAGAAAGCTACTGTTGCTGGAGGAGGAAGAGCAAATGCAGAGACAAGGCTTGAGAAGAAAGTACTAATAGTTGGAAGGCAATACAGAGACTTGGCAGGGCATCACACAGACTGTGGCCTCTTTCCTGAAAGCAGGTTGCCACTGGAGTCATACCACAGGGATGAAATGCTGATGAGCATGTTTAGAAGATCAGGAGCTTCCATGCCAAGAACAAATGTACAGAAGCATGGGAAGCTAGGAGACCGATGAGGAAGCAATTATAGTAGTCCAAGAGAAAGGTGGTGATGAAGTGACCACCCATTTTTCAAAAGAATCTTTTTAGGTGGTAAAATGGAAGAGAGGAGGTGTTAAAAAAAAAAAAGAGGTATTTAAAAAAAAGTATCTAGATTGGGTGGCTGCTGCATGAAATGGAATACTGGAAGAAGGCCAAGCTAAACATCGCCAGTTCAGTTGTTTATGTCAAGATTCCTTTCAGATACTCAAATAGAGAAGTCAACAGACAGGATGACCAGGGGCTCTGAAGAAGGTTTAGATGTAAGACACAGAAAGAGTATTCCCCCTCCAGTACTAGGGAGAAGCAGAGGCTGCTGACATGAATGAGATATTGACAAAGAGTAAGAGAGCAGAAAGATTCATGATATTATTTTTAATTTTTAAAATTTTATTTATTTGGTACAGGGTCTCACTATGCAGTTGAGACCTGTAGTGATCCTCCTGTCTCAGCCTCCCCAGCACTGGGATTATAGGCATGTGCCACCATGCCTGGTTCTGGGGCCAGAAACTACATGATACTAAATGCTGTACTAGGGGTTGAACTCGGGTGCTTGTGCTTTCCAGGCAGGTGCTTAGACTGCTGAGCTATCTCCCCAGCCCTGATAATCTTATATAGTATTGTTTCTATCTAAATTGGAGTATTTTTCTTCAAAGGTGATGGGAAAGTGTATCAGTGTCATAAAGATGATCTTGTTGGGCTGGGGAGATAGCTCAGCAGTCTAAACCTGCTTGCTTAAAGCGCTTGCTTAGGCAGATGCAGGGGCCGGGGGTTCAATCCCTAGGTCTGCCATGCTGGCCCCACCCACAAGGTGTGCTGAGATGGCGACAGACTGGGCATGGTGGTGCATGCTTATAATTCCAGCACTTGGGAGGCTGTAAACAGGAAGATCACTATGAGTCTGATCTATGTAGTGAGACCCTGTAGACCCTGTACTAAATACATTAAAATACACAAAATAAAATAAACCTGCTTACCTGTAAGTGCAAGGACCCGGGTTTGATCCCTAGTATGCAGTGACATGCCTGGGCCCCTGGTTGGTGCACCTTGCCTGCCACCAAAACTGGGCGTGGTAGTATATTCCTATAATCCCAGTGCTCGGAAGGTTGAGACAGAGGCTCACTATGAGTCTGAGCTGCACAACAAGACCCTGTACCAAAGAAAGAAAGAAAGAAAGAAAGAAAGAAAGAAAGAAAGAAAGAAAGAAAGAAAGAAAGAAAGAAAGGGGGTCAGAGAGGCAGGGGGGAAGAGATCTTGTTTTGACCTTATACCCTTACTTGTAGAAATCTTTCTTCAGTAAGTAATAGTAGTAAGTATGTCAAGCACTCATGAATAATATTCATTTAAGCACTATTTAAGATAGGAAAAACAAAAAAATGATTTAATTATCTAATGTTAGGAGCAGGTTAAACAGATACAGATGTCATATATTTATATGAGTGAATGTTGTGCCATATTATTTGATGTTTATAAAGATTTTGTAGTATAAATAAATGGCTATGAGGTAGCAGTAAGCATAACAAAAATCAGTACATAAAATTAATAGAGAACTAGAGAGGGAAGGGGAGAGAGGACAGAAAGAGGAAATCTTGACTGCGTGAAAATGTATAGAACAAAAAAGTATAAGAAAAATTAATTATCAGTTATCATCATTACCATTTTTATTCTTGTACCCAGTCTGCAAATTTTCAATGTTCCCATGTACTGCATTTTATGTATTATTTTATTAAGAAAACAAATGTAAATTTTGAAGTATTGTTCCAGTTATCAATGGAAGTAAAGGGCTCCTCACCCCATTAAACCCTACTATCAGTATTCCTGTTTCACAACTTGAGGTACATATCTATTTTGAACCTATTCTAGATTTTTAAGTATGTGAAATTATTGATGTGCATTAAAAGTTTTTTCAGTTGTTTATTTAATTAGAGTTGTGAAATAGCTTCAGAAAATTGATCTAATTATTGGGTTACAGGACTTCCTTCCCCTCAGCCAACTCCCAATCAGATGGCCCACAGTAGACAATATTGAGTATGTTTGTGTTGCCTTTGTTCATTTAATTGCTCCCTAGTAGAACTAACCATGAGCCCTTTAATGTGAGTTTAAAAAAAAATTATGTATTTTTCCAAAGTTAGTTCCTTTATGTTCCACTAACTTAAAAAAAAACTATTTATATTAATTTTGTGGGGTGTTTTTTTGACTGGCACAGGATTCCTTAAGGGCAGGTCTGGTAAGGCATGAGGATCTGGGGATTGAACCACAGAATCCTGAGCCTGACTGCTTGGCTTAAGCAGGCACTTAAACACCTGAGCTAATGGGCAGGACCCCTGGTTTTTTTTATTTTCTTAACCCTGAACTGAATTCAGGACCTTGTGCTTACCAGGCTATGGCTTGTGCCACTGAGCTATCTCCCCAGCCCATATATATATTAAGTAAAAGGACTGGGTTCAATCCTTTTATGTATGTATGTGCATTTGTGTGTGCGCGGCCAGATCAGCCCACCAGGGGGCGGGGCTGGCTGGCATGTGGTGCTGGGGGATTGAACCGCAGTCCCTGTGCTTGCTAAGCTTGTTCTAAGTAGGTGCTTTAGACCACTCAGGCATCTCACCAGCCCCATGGGTTCAATCCTCAGTATCACCACTACCAAAAAAAAAGGTAAATATGAATGTATTCAAAATTAAAATTAAAAGTCTGTCTCCAAATTTTGTGATATCAGCTTACCTTTTCCAATTATGTATTAACTTCCTATGGGAAAAAATTTAAAGACATTTGCAATTGCTTTTTGTTTGCTGTTTTTATTTATTTTGTTGCATACTGGAGACAGACAATCTTTATTAAAGATACAACCAAAATTTAGCAAACATTCCAAAAACAGATCTGTGAACATGCTTCCCTTTCCAACTGGAAGCACTTTGAAAAGACAGGATAAGACAATATAATCTGCATCAACACTAGTTCGAAGTCTCTCTCTCTCTCTCTACTTTTTTTTCGGGGGTCACAGCTCAGCCCACCCTGAGGGCAGGGCCGATGCAGCATATGGTGCTGGGGATCGAACTGTGGTCCCCTACACCTGCCTAAGCTTGTCTAAGTAGGCACTTTAGACCACTGAGCTATCTTGCCAGCCCAGTCCTTATATTTTTGAGCATATAACATGTTTCTGCATAATAAAGCAAGGGATAGTATATATCATTGTCAGTAGATAAACTCTATGAGATGAAAGTCTGCTGTCTGATGAATCATGGCACATTAGGGTTAAAATTTTCTGCTTTCTAATACTATTGCTACCCAAGATGTCCAACTGATTTTTTTACTCTGGCACTTCTCAGCAAGTATACTTAGCTCCTGAGTATATGTTAAAGTTATTGAGGTATAAAGTAAACCTGATCAGATACAGACTCCCATGGGACATTGCCGTGAGCTCCAGACCTTGGGCTGAGTCTTTCAGCCTCCAGGATGCAGGCGCCCTCTGCACTCCTCCTAATCCAATTCTGTGACTCACCATCCTAAGCCAATCTTTTTTTTTTTAATTTTTTTAATTATTTATTTATTTTTATTTATTACATTTTATGTAGTGTGTGTGTGTGTGTGTGTGTGGCCAGCTCAGCCCACCAGGGAGCAGGGCTGGCTGGCATGTGGTGCTGGGGGATCGAACCGCGGTCCCTGTGCTTTGCCAAGCTTGTTTCAAGTAGGTGCTTTAGACCACTGAGCCA